GAGGCAACTAACCTGACCTGGTGGTCCGGCTCGCTCAGGCTCACTGACTTAGTTCATTCTTGCCATCATATCGTATTTATGTGCTTTGAGTATGCACCTTGTGGATGGATACAGCGGTTTATAAATATTCATTATCATTATCATCATCATCAAAATCTTTATTACGGATGAAGGCCGCAAGCCCATGTACATATTAAAATACATATTCGAAACAGGTATGAAAACAGGATACAATTTTTTAATAGATTTAGCATTTACCTGTCTACCTGAGTAGATTTTCTTACACCCTCAGTGAAAAATATCAGTAACATATATATGTACATGTATAGCTGTACTGGATTTTTTTTTAATAATTCTAATACCTATTTCTATTTTTCTCTTATTTTGTATGCTTAATAGATAAAACGAGCTAGATTATTTATGTCTTCAGTTTTGTTTTGTTTAGGATATTTCTAAACGATATCATATTTACTTGCAAATTCTTAGGCAAAAATCTGTCCCAAAGATCTTTATAAGCTGGACATTGCAACAAAAAATGATATTCATCTTCTAAATCTACTTTACATGCAGGACAATTTCTTTGATATACATCAATATTTTGCCACATACCTACGTTATTCTTTAAACGTAAGACACCAGCTCTGAATTTGACCAATTCTTTACAGAATTTATATTCCAAATTTGAAGTGAAGACAGAACCCCTCAGGCTCAAGAAGACTCTTACAGTACAACCAGAAATTATTGAGAATTTAAAGATTGTAAAAAAAAATTTCACTCATTACTCACGTATTAAATGTGAATATTACCAGAACATAACTCCAGATTCAAAGACAGGTGAACAGTTAGTATTTTGTCAAGTCACCATGGCAGCATTGCAGGCTTCAATGCGGCGGGGCATACTACTGTCCAAAGAAGTTAGAAAGTCGGGGTCCATGCTGTCCCAATATCAATACCCAATACCACCTCTTCTTTCTTTTTAGCAATATTTGTCAGATTTTTCTTATTGACACTTTCTTTCATAAGTCCCCAAACATTTTCTATTGGATTTAGGTCAGGGCTATAGCTTGGCCAATCTAATAATGTCATATTTTGGGTCCGAAACCAGGCCTGTGAATGCTTTGAACGATGTTTTGGGTCGTTGTCCTGCTGGAAAATCCAAACATTTCCATAGAACATGTGAGCAGATGGAATTAAATGTCCCTCGATAATATCTGTGTACCGCTCACTGTTCATATTCCCTTCAAATACACAGAGGGGCGTTGCCCCTAACACAGATATGCCACCCCACACGTTAAATTTCGGACTGTACTTTGGGCGCTGATACAAAGGTTTTTCAGTTTGTTTGGTCCAGAATTTCAGTGTATTAGGAAACAGCCACACAGAACTTTCATCTGTGAAAATCACATTGTCCCAGTTAAAATTTCTATGCTGTAAGCACCAGTTCAACCTTCGCTCCTTTTGTTCAGGTTTCATGATGGGTGATGGAATTCCTCGACTTTTCTGCCAACCCATTGCATGCAGCTCAGTTCTAATTGTCTCCTTACAGACAGCCACAGTTCCTCTATCAATCATATCCAGCCTTAAGTTTTCTAAACTCCTTCGTTTGTTTTAGAAACAAGAATACCAAGCCGCCTCCTGTCACCGACAGTCAATTTTCTGGGCCTACCTGTGCCTCCCTGGTGCTCAATGCCATATCCATTTGCAATATTTTTCAAAACACGATAAACTGTGGACAAAGGGATGCCTGTTCTACTTGAAATCACTTTAGCTGATCTGATGTCCTTGTTATAATACTCTAAAATCAACTTTCTCTTCTCTAAATCATGCATGATCCATCATCATACATCACTGAAAATGGCGTCTGCTAGCAAGTAAACAAAGGGAGATTACTCTTCACAAACTAATGAAAAAGGATTTATTTAACGGAGTTGTCTCTCTTGAATGAAACAAGCACTTGATAGCTGGTCAAGGTTGTTTATACTAGAAATCCAATTAAACATATTCCTAAAATTCTCAATAATTTCTGGTCATACTATATATTTTGCATATAACGTGTAACGTGAACAGTTTTCAAGAGGATATGTCCAATTTTGGTAAAACATTGATTGTGGTATTTATTTGCTTTGAGTATGCACCTTGTGGATGGATACAGCGCTTTATAGATACTCATTATTATTATTATCTTTATATCCCAGTTGCATAGACAAGCCTGAGGATGTCAATCACTAGTTAAATCCAGATTCTATTTTTTACGGATCAGGTCACATAGCTGGAATATTGCTGAGTGCTGCGTAAAACAACAAGCAAGCCTCCCACCTTAACTGTATATGTCTAGAGCTGAAGCTCAACAATCTAACATCTCTCTCAAGAAAAATATGTTACGCCCCCACACAAGCAAGCCTTCATTAATTGCTTCCGTAGCCTTAAGAGGCCAAGTGATTTTGTGTTCAACCCCATTGTTCTTGGTGATTTTAGATTTCTATTGATTTTGAAGACTGGATGAAAATAGTAACACAATGGTGAACATGTTTAACATGTGTAGAGAGAGAAAAAACGTTATCTCTCTGAAACTGTGAAGGTGTTCAGTATGATGAATGATGATCAAGCCATGTTTAGGGCAGCTGTATTTACAAGACTGGTGAACTTATATACCATCGGCAGAAAGTCACTGGCTGCCTTCATACTTAGAGGCTCTCATTTCTTAGGTTGTTGATAAGTCTAGCAGGAGGCATTGATTGTTTATTCAAGATGAGAAAATAATTTTCTGAGGTTAGCGTTAATGCCCACTTCAGAGGTATGTATACATACATTCAAAATGTATTTTCAAAATCATGAAACAGAACTTGTAATTTATCAGCTGAATAAAAAAGATGGATCAATAATTTTGATGATTACTGTTAAGGGCTGCATTGTATGACAAGTCCCTTCAAAGACCTTACAGGTGATATTAATGTTCCATGCAGCCCTTTCACTCCTATTTCCGCAGCAGTGATATAAATAAGACACTTGGGGTTCATCTATATTCATAATTTTCATATGACAAATCAGTTGAGAATGAAAGTAGTGGTGACTGTTTTTCTATGCAGTTTATGTCAATGTAGCTTTTAAGGGCCTGTCATTTATTGTTATTGTCAACAAAGTATTAGAAAACATGTTAAATTCAGAGGGTCGTGCAAAATATTTCTCCCTTTCTTGGGAGAGGGATATAGAATAATCGACATATACTACCAAACGTATTTGTATATGATGTGGTATATTTGCTGAAAAAAAAGAAGTTTTACAAGAATGTTTTTAGTGAGAGACATGAAAACATGTGGACACTCCCCAATAGATACTGAAAAAAAGGTCAGAGTGATGCACAAGCCCACACACACTATTATAAATGACAGGTCCTTGAGAGCAGAGGAGGACAGTAGATGTGTCTTCTCAGATAAAAACTGTGGAGTTGTCAGAGTGGAGACATGTTTTTTGTTGTTTCTCCCATGGGGATAACCACCATTCATGGCAGTACCCTCTCAATATGCCCAATGAACATACTCATGCACAATATAAACATCACTTTTGTTTGGGTTGAATCAAAGCAGCAAAAGTTATTTTAGGAACTCAAGTTACATGTATATTCAGTGGAAGAAGACTTTGCTGATTTTAAGCATATGTTCCCTTGTTGCAATGGTATGGCTTGTCATCCAAACATTCTGGTGGTTCTATGTGAATAGTAACAGTCATATTACCAGGAGACAACCATAATATGTGCACAAGCTTGACAGAGGGATAACCACAATATGAGCACCTGCTTGACAGAGGGATAACCACAATATGAGCACCTGCTTGACAGGGGGATAACCACAATATGAGCACCTGCTTGACAGGGGGATAACCACAATATGAGCACCTGCTTGACAGGGGGATAACCACAATAAGAGCACCTGCTTGACAGGGGGATAACCACAATAACAACACCTGCTTGACAGGGGGACAACCACAATAAGAACAACTGCTTGACAGGGAGATAACCACAATATGAGCCCTGCTTGACAGGGGGATAACCACAGTATGAGCACCTTTTTGACAGGGAGATAACCACAATATGTGCACAAGCTTCACAGGATAACCACTCTGCATGGCCTTGTTCAAAAGTGGAATAAACATTATGTAAACAATGTAACTAACATTTACCATGTGTAATCTATTTGATCATTTTCAACGTCTTGGTATAAGCCAACCTTAAAATCAATTTATCACACACTTAGAATTTCAAATTAACAAGAAACCATTGTTCGAATGTATAAATCCAACATTTAGAAATCACCTGTAAGCCTCAAACAATTATAGCCTTTCTGTACTGAGTGATTGATTGATGTAAGATGTGGCGCTTTCAGCCACTGTTCAAACATTCACCCAAAAGGATTCCTGATATTTGTCTCCAAGGCCACTGTCAGTGATTTATAGAAATGAAGTCACTCCATTGTTTCTGATGCAACATGATCAATTTGTGATGTTGGCAACTTGGCATCATACATCACAACAATGAAGAGATACAACGTAATGCTGCTTCAGTTGACCAAGTATCTTTGACCATTGTCAGAATACTCAGGCTAATATTGGGAAGCAGTTGATCCTTCAGTCCTTATGAGTAATAATATCCTGTACAGACCCAAATCATGTGACTGTTTAATGATGTACAAGGTTTTCGGAATCCCTTCAAAATTATGATTAATCACTGAAGCGAGTAACTGATGATCCAGCACATTAACGTCATATGAGAAATAACAATGTAGAACACTATGGTAAAAAAAAATCTTTGCAAATCCTGATTGAAGTTCTTCATGGAGGTCTCTATATTGATTGTGTCAGTTAATATGAACACTGCTGAGTGAACACCTTCATAGATTAAAGGATTGCTGATCGATGTTGATGGTTTATCTGTGTTTACTGTGGTTTATGCCATGGCTTATTACTGCTGCATGCAATTTAACAGATCCTGTTTTTTTGTCTTTCAGATATGAACTCCCATTTGACCGACATGATTGGATTGTTGACCGCTGTGGCAAGGAAGTTCGCTACATTATTGACTATTATGATGGTGGAGCAGTGAATAAGAGCACGTATGAGTTCACACTTTTAGACGTGCGACCAGCATTTGATTCTCCAGGTGCAGCGTGGGACAGGATGAAAGTAGCCTTTATGAGATGGAGGATGAGTTCAAGTGATAAGGAGTTGAAGGCAAACTCTAAAGCTGTCTATCACGACAAGGAAGCAGTAAAGAGCACCTCAGACTAGCCACAGCATAAATCTTGACCAGTTTGACTGGCACTGGTTTTAAGTGTGAGGATTTATTGAGGAAACAATAGTGTTACTCCGGATGCAAGTGAGAATTGTGTTGGGAACTCCTGTGCCGAGGCCAGGGAGTGGCATTGATGAAGCTGTCAGATGACTGTGAGGAGAAGCTTCAGTGGGAGCATGGAGGCGGCACCTGGAGTAGACCAGGACGACACGTTAATGAATGAATGACAGTGTTGCTGGAGACTGGTTGCAGAAGAAGGTCAAGCCATGTCATGACATTGTATCTGTCCGTGGTTTGCCATCAACATCTTCAAATTTCACCAGAGTTTATTGATTATTTGATGTAATCATCTTGCCTTCTTCTTTTTGTGAAATCGCATGATTCATTGTGTAAATTATAATTATAGAAAATAAAGTTACGTTTTCATTTTGAATTCAAGTTTGATGTAATTTGAGACAACCAAAGGCATGATAAAATGATAATTCTCTTTGAACTGTCAAAGAAACTGTTATAGATACCTTGTAAGTGTGGGGACAGGCTTCAGAAGAGGGCCATGCAATTCATCGCTGGTCACCCTCTTGAGGGCTCTTGGTAAGAATTGGTCCCAAGCAATATGGTGACCAACCATGTGAATTTGTCATGCCCTGATCGTATAGCTCATTGTAAACAATATCAGTCCCTGAATAATCAGCGTTGTCAATCACTGAATTATTAGGTCCGGACAAATTGTTTTCATGTCACGGTCTTATAGCTGACATTTTGCTATATAAAGCAACAACAAAAAGCCCATTGCTGGTCAAAAGGACACGTAATTTTGGCAGGATGTGACATGGCTCACCGTGTGTCATAGTGCCGTGATGATGGCAGGTTTATTGGCAATAAGACATTTTCATGATTTTCTTATGTATCATTTATTTCATGATTACACAATGCCATTTAGAAAGTGGTCAAATGCAACATATGTTATATTTGGGATTACACTTTCTTGGTAAAGTACAATTCTAGTACTTTTTGTGCTGGCGATTTGGTGCTTGACTCTGAGGATGTGGGTTCGAATCCCGGGTGGGACACAACCCAAAGTACTTGACTAAGAAAGTGTAATCGCAAATACATGTATAACATATGTTGCATTTATTTCATTACCAAATTTGGATAAATTCTTAAGACCTTTTGATCGCACTGCCCCTAAAAGTATACAGATATGTGACCGTAGATGACATGGATTCTTCGTAGTGCTTCAGTCAAGATGGTTTTAGATTACCTACTGACTGCCATGATTCTGCTTGATGATTGATGACTGTGTGTTGAATGACAACCTGCTGTTGCAGCCAGCATGGATCCAGAGGTACTAACCACCCAAGTCTAATCTGTTAAGCAAGAAATATATATCCTGTGTTTCCAGTAACCCAACATGTTTAGCATTTTGCAACACTGTATTTTTAATTACTTGTAATTTGTCATTAGGGACATTTTTCCATACTTACATGGAGAATTCAGATCAAATGCCTGATGTTCTTAAGCAAAACATGAATTATAGTTGTCAAGAAAACTCATCATTAGGCCTAGTTATATGCAGATGCACCAGCACAACCTATCCTTCAAACAGACAGCCAAATGCCATCAAACATTTCTAATTTGTGTCTGATTCACCCTGTAGACACGTGCAATACCTCTAACGTTTATTTACTTAACTTCATCATTAATTAACATGTAATCTGACACCTTCTGTGGCTTGATGGCATCAAACCGTGGGTACATAAAGATAATGTGCTCAAGTGCCTGGAGTGTTTTACTGCAATGCATCATCAGTCTGTGTGACACTGCCAACAGGTGGGTCTGTTTTAACGTTTATTAATTCATGGGACCAGGGTGCAACCTGGTTTTGCTTGGTGCAACTTTGTTTTCACGTCAGCATGCAAATGGTGAAAGTTCACTAAAGTCAAGTGCTGTTAGTTAGATTTATGATAGATAATAAACAATTTATCCCCAAGCCCATTTCTTAACTCACATGTATACACAGATTGTGTTAACCTGAATACAATGGCTCAGGACTTCTGCAACCCCATTTTTCTGGAAGGTTTTCACAATCTGAATTATTCAGATAGTGCCAGGATGTGCCTAATTCCCAGGCAACTGCTCGATCCTGTCTTGCCATCCTTTGCAGGTTGTCCTTGCTGTAGAAGTACCACTGACAGCAAACAGTCCATACTTGGTATCTTGAGGCCTATCTGCACTGTGTAACCTTACATTTTCCAACAAAATATACAATGTACAAAAGACATGAAATAAATAATAAAGTAAAACACAGATATACCATTAATGGTTAGAAGAATTAGTTCGCAACCAATAACAAAGCAGATATTTATTATCCTAGTGAAGGTAAAATATCCAGCTTAGTCCTGCCGCATTTCTACTTTGTAAAATGGCAGTGTATTGATGTGTCCTATGCTTATGTTATCTACTTTTCGTTTATTTGTGAGGTAGCCTGCAGTTCACTTCTTCCGTCTCTTTTCAAATTCAGTTATCTTTTTTAGTAAGTGTAATCCCAGTATGTCAAACAGCTCCCCACTCCTTCAGTTCATTCACTGTGACCACCCAACCTTTTTGGCTTTTCTCCAAAGTTTAAAGCACTTCATAGTCACTAGGCTTCCATGGTGTAGTGGTTGGAGCGTCAGCCCGGAGAGTGGAAGGTCTGCCGGTTCGATCCCGATCCCGAGCGTCATACCAAAAGACGTTAAAATATGGTACTTGTTGGTCCCTGCCTTGCACTTGGCATTAATGGGTACAACAAGGACTGTCGGCTCAGAGTCAGTATAATGTGTCTGAGTGGAGTATTCATGCTTCACTGCGGCATGGTATCTCAGTGAGCTGGCACTATAAAACCAGCTTAAGTCTGGGCTAGTACAAGCAGCTGCACATACATACACACGCATGCACATCGTCATATGAGGGAAATATTCTCAAGCAAGATGTTAAACCCAACCTCACCTCACCTCACCTCACCTCACCTCACCTCACCTCACCTCACCTCACCTCACCTCACCCAAACCCAGACTGCCACTGCCTTTTCCTCAAATGAAGTGATGTTGTGGGATCAAGCTAAACACACTTGAATAGCTGAGCAAAATTCAGGATAAGGTATTCGAGCTTTGGAGAGCATCCTATGGTAATAACAACCTGAGATCGGCTTGTACACAGAGAATCATGCCCACTGATTCTGTGAATATCAAAGTGCTAAGTGGGTGACCGAAGACACTGGATCATGTTCAAATATTAGAAACACACTTCCTGGAAAATATCACATAAGGAAGTAATTTTAGAATTAGTCTTCATTCAATGATGTTTATAAGTATTAAACATGCAAGCATTGAAAAGCAAATTCCTAGTCCCATTTCCAAGTTTTGTTAATATCTTTAGTCAAAAGGGCTCGTGATAACTTTGTCTATCAAACCTATTTTCAATAAACAGATTAAACTGGGCAAAGATTTTCATGGATAGAGTTTATTTGACCAAATGTCCCCAAAGGCTGGGGACGTTATTTATGTGATCATTAGGAAATGTCAATTATCGCTATCTTATGCAGAGCGAGAGCACATATAAATCTGAAATAACAATAGCAGCCTTGGGTCACGACAATGATGAGAATTTAATTCACAGCAGCTCACCGTTTTTTTAGATAGAAAATGTAAAATGCCACTTTGAGTTGTCAGTGCCCGTCATGAATCTTGTCCTTGTTTTATGGAGACAGAAATATGACAAGCCTGGTTCCAGTAAGTCTTAAAACGCGAATAGATCTGTCATCATTTGTGGCAACATATTGTTTTATGCCTTGAAATGATATGAGTAATCCTGTTACAAAGCACCTCTCAAAAAAACATCTGTAATTTTCATATGGCATCACTATGATCACATCTTGGTCAGAAGAGTTAAAGTTTTAGAATAGAAAACAAGTTTAATGTGGCTCCTATTTTCTCCAGTGAATATTTAAATTTGACACCAACATTCTCATTTCTTTTTCTCTGTTCACAAATCAATGGAAATTATGAACTGTGTGCTTTAATTTGGTGACTTCAGTTCAATATGTTGGTTTCAAGTGTATTTATAATTAAATGTATTTATGGCCTCCTATTGTCCAATAATAGCTAATATATTTTGGATCTGTCATCTGAAGGCCATGAGAACATGGAGTGGAGTGCTTCATCCCCTCTGCTTGACTTGAATCAGCTGAGTGAAAAGTCAAGGATTCATATGTTGTGGTTATTCAATGAGGTTTTCCTATGATGAAGTAGGGTAGCCAAGTAGTGTCAGTGTTAGCCCATGACATTAAAACCCTTGGTTGGATCCTACACAGAGTACTATGTGTAAAGCCCTTTTCAGATCAACTCCTGTCATGATATTGCTGAAATGTTTTCAAAGCAGGATACACCCGTGAAGATCCGGTCAGGCTCGCTTACTTGGTTGACACATGTCATGGTATCCCAATTACATAGATTGATGCTCATGCTGTTGATCACTGGATTGTCTGGTCCACACTTGATTATTTACAGACCACCACCATATAGCTGGAATATTGATGAGTGCGGCATAAAACTAAATTCACTCACTCACTCAAAGCAGGATGAAACTCATTATATATGTTTGTGTTGATCTGCCTATCACACTGTGTTGTTTGTGTTACAGCATAATGCTGCTCTGTTGGCCTGTGGAACTGGATGCCATTATGGTTTGTAGTTCAGGACAAATAGAATGAAAAAAATATTCAACAAAAGTAGGGAAAAGAATAATTCTTCGACCACTCAGTTGTCTTAAATGATCTGCCATACGGGTGCATGATGACACTGTAAATTTTGAACCTGTTTTCAGGAAACAAGAAGTCAGTCAGTCAGCACTTGGTTGTACACATGAAAAAAGTCAGAAAGTGAGAGTGTTTCTGTACAGACTTGGACAGAGGTGCAGGGAGTGATCAGATATCTCTTTATGGACTTGGGGCAGGAAGTGAGAGTGTTGTCAGATCAGAGGTGCAGGGAGTGATCACATATCTCTGTACAGACATGGGTCAGGAAGTGAGAGTGTTGTCAGATCAGAGGTGTAGGCAGTGATCAGGTATCTCTGTATAGACTTGGGTCAGGAAGTGAGAGTGTTGTAGGATCAGAGGTGCAGGGAGTGATCAGATATCTCTGTATGGACTTGGGTCAGGAAGTGAGAGTGTTGTCAGATCAGAGGTGCAGGCAGTGATCACATATCTCTGTACAGACTTGGGTCAGGAAGTGAGAGTGTTGTCAGATCAGAGGTGTAGGCAGTGATCAGGATAGACTTGGGTCAGGAAGTGAGTGTTGTCGGATCAGAGGTGCAGGCAGTGATCAGGTATCTCTGTACAGACTTGGGTCAGGAAGTGAGAGTGTTGTCGGATCAGAGGTGCAGGCAGTGATCAGG